CGAATAACACACTTTCTATCATGTTAATGTTTTAACAAACAAAAGTTTAATAAAAGCAGTTATTAATTTTTAATATATATCAAAATTTTTGTAACAATAAAAATATTTTATATTTAATTATTTCAAATAAAGAGTTTTAATCTAATATAATATATAATATGCATTTATAAGTTTTTACATTAAATTTTAATTCAAATATACAAGATAAATAGGACAAAACGTAAAACACGATATATGTAGCAAATATCATTATGCGGTGTCAGATGTTTTGAACCAAGAATTTATGCAATCCTTATTTGATATTCAAATGATTATTAGTAAGTGGGTGTATGTGATACGAACTTTTCTAATATTTACGTTTATATATATATATATATATTTAGTTATATATAACTAATACACGTAAAGCGATATCAACAGCATATTATACCGGAAACCGCAATATCGACCTTAGATAATCTCTCTATTTTTTCTGCACATATTTTACGGGAATTCAAAGTTTATTTTTAATGTAGTTTTAATTTATTTTTATGAATCTTCTAAGTATAATATCCGATCTTAGAATTAACACTATCTCTCTAAAAAAAATTGGAATTATTATCTTTAGTAGAATAATATACAATAGCAATATTAATTGTCAAATATAATAATCATATAATTTTATATTTAATTAATTTTATTTTTATAAGTTTTAACTTTTGGCTAAAATTTATATCTATATTATTCATAAAAATGCAATGCTAGAAAGTTTCTGCAAAAAAGTCCGCTGCTGTTTAATTAATGAAGAAAACAAAACATTAGTCAACTCATACACCCCTCTTCTTAGCACGTGCACAATCAGTTGGGATCCCCGGTTGGTGAGAGTGAGCTTCGTAGCATGGAAACTGTTCAGTGCCACTTTTTCCTTCATAGGGCTCACATACTAAATAACTAGCGTTAGTCCCAGCAGTTTTTAGTACCATAACATTATTAATACGCCGTAATAATATGCCGTATAATTAAAGCAAGTTATTATAAAATAATATTAATTTCAAAATAGTTGAAAAGTCATAATTTTTACATATCGAAACAGTGTATGTATGTGTAAATGTGTGAAATTGATAAAAGTTCGTGCTTCAGAAGAAGTTTGAAAATTTGCAAAGAACGTATCGCGGTACAAGATGATCCATAAGACTATAATGTGTTACATATAGTCATGTTGCGAAATCCCATCAAGTTAAAGCTTCATCGCAAGAAGTGTCTTTCACAAAGTCGTTCGAAAAATTTGTTAGACGACAAGACGAATATTGAACAAATAAAAACGTCATCTGCTGTTTGTAAAGAAGAATATTTAACTAATAGAAATCTATCGATCATGACTGATACGCAGCTCGAATCGGATGTCGTAGACAACGTTCGTCTGCGACAAAAGAAACACATTAATGCCAGAACATCGAATTCATCCTCTAGTACAGATTCGCAAAATTCATATATTTTGATAGCGTCTGAAGAAGTACCTGTGGTATTAGAAGATACTAACTGGGAATACGTGGGCTATTGTGATATCACTGAATCTGTGCAAAGTAATAGTACTAAGAAAAAGTACTGTAGCCCTAAATGTAGTAGCGCTTGGTTTCTAAAAATTCGACGCGAGATTATGAAGAATTGCCGCAATAAAATTCATCCTCTAATGATGAATAGGTAAGTTTATAAAAAATCTTTTACGTATGGTTCTTTCTTCAAAAATAAAACTCTTAATAGTCTCTACATGAGATTATTGTGTTAATAGAAACTATTTCATTTAAACACATAATACTAACAAAGTATAATAAATAAATAATTAATATTGATTCTTCAACTTGCTACTAAAATTACATTATATTATATTAACAACAGTTACATATTGTTACGTAAGAACCGTATAAAACCGTAAGATTATGTATAAAGGATACGAATATGTATATCATATATATATGGTATCGTTATTTATAGAATACTATTATGATTGCACATGTAATATAATATGTGCCACAAATGCTAAATAGATTTATTTTTAAATGCAATCACATCATGTACGTGATACATATTGCTATAAAATTCTCTATTTAATAATTTTGCTATTAATTAGTTGATGATACATCATTAATTCCACAAGTTTGCTATTATCGCTAAGCCTTATCTCGTGCAGAATTGGTACGTAGTATGGCGTAATATCCATATGTAAAAATAGTCTATTCTGCCCACATTCGAACGTGGCGGATGTTCCACTGTGATAATGTAACTTCTCACGGTCTTTTACAAAGACATTCGATAGATTGCACGTGGCGGGGGAGTTTAAAGACCCTTAAAAGCGCGAACGGTAAACCTGGTAGATTCGCTTCGCAGGGAAACACGGATGAGTCATCCAAGTAAATAGTAGTTTGAAGTAACAAGCGCGTGTGCATGGTCGAGTAAACAGCAAAAAACGATAGAATACGTATCTGCGCGTTTTATTTGTTTCATGATTTTTATTATCTCTAATGTTTGTAGTATTTTAAAAGACATATATAAATAAAAATTTTAACTAAAATAATTTTATCGTATAATTGTATGTGATTTTAAAACACATATGTTTTAAATTTAAACAAATATTATATTCTGTGCTTATTTAATTCTGATATCGCGATTGCTATTATATAATTAATTTTAAATAGCAATAATTATCGTACTTATTATTAATAAGTATGTAATAAACGTTCCCCCTATATAAATTTAAATTGTATATGATTTTATTCTGCTATTAAAAATTTATATTTTATTATATAATTTTTCTATTTTATTATTAAAAACCTATAATCTTGCATTACGCAAATAGACAATCTTTTCATATGTCGTACTTTAAATTAACTTATTGCTATTGGTTTGTTAATTTTTGTTTTATGACCACAGAGTATATGCACAAGCAACCAATATTATCGAAAAATATCTTTATCACGTAAAGCTAAATATTCATTATGTAGTCACGTATATGTTTTATTCAGCCCTGCTACGTGCGTCGCGTGCAGGCGTGCGCGACG